AGGTGTTCAATGTACCAATCAAGAAAAAAAAAAACAGAACAGTAACACAATGGGGCTTAGAGGCTGGCAGTTCCACCAAAAGTACTGAAGTACTGCCAGTCCTACCCACCACTATTTGTCTCTCTCATTGTGATATACCGCCCTTTTCCTCACAGCAACACAACTGTTTCCACAGCTGTGCTGTGAAGTGGACTGGGAAATTGATTTGGCTAGCAACACTGGAGGCGGGATAATTGCTACATTTCTATTGCTGGATCAGTTCCCCACCTGGTTGGGAGCACAACCCCACTGGGCTGTGCCAGCAAAGTGGCAAGAAAGGAACAGTACAGAATGAAAGCATAGAATGGGGCTGTGGGATGTGGCCACCCATAATCCAGCACTGGCACCAGACATTTCACAACACCACGTCGCTGCTTTATGCAGGGACATCCAGCATTACCTCTTCACAAATAATAAAAGCACCTACAATTAAGTCTAAATTAAAAAATACTCACCGAAAAATAAATTCACCGTACATAAGTAGCTGTAGAAAATTCAGTCAAATATTAACATTCTAAATCAGAGACAGCATTGCAATTGGTTACTTCTGGAGCATTGGCCAAACTGGACTGTGTTTTCTTTGTCACTTGTGAGAGACCACATCACAGCACACAGTCAGTCAGTAGCTATCCAAACCAGAGATTGTTCTTTGGAACAAAAGAACAAAAAGATGTAAAAAGCTGCAACAACTGCTTGTGGATCCAGGAACCCCACAGTAACAGACCAACAGAATGTGAAAAGCAAATGAAAGAGTAAAGCAAAGGAAAAGCATTCAGTTATGCTTTCAAGAGGTTCTTTCAACTTAGTAATAAGCTAAAATAAGTAGGTTTTTGTCCCCTTTAATTCTGAAAAAAACTAACATAAGGGCTTGAAGTAACATTTTTACAGTGATAATTTTGTTGTTTGGGTTGTGAGTGTTTTTTAAACACACTATTCATTAAAATATGTCGGTTTGCTTTTTGTTTTTGTTTTTCCACTGACTCATTCTCTTGGTTATATAAAACTACTGGTGCTTTTGTCATTCCTGTGCTCTTCTGGGGAACTTGCACAGCAACATTCACGTACTCAAAATAAAGCAAGTAAACCTGACTTCATGCTGTGATGTATTTCTTACACAACCAAAATAAAAGGAAAAACACTGGCTCTGCTGAAGTGAACAGAAACAAGTTGCACCTTAAATTTGGTAGCATTAAGATTTGACTTCAGCCTTTTTTTTTTTTTTCTGGAGCCAGGAGTGCCAGACTGAGTCCATCTGGAGCGTCTCCTCTGGCATTCAGCTTGACTTGTGACATGATGCGTTCAGCAGACTGGCAAATATAAACCCCTGGTTTTGAAGTCTAACAAAATAAAAGTCAATATACATACTGAATTGGTTGGCAAATAATATGACACTTAATGCAACATTAAATGCAGTTTTGCAAAGGAGCTTCAGGAATGACACTAAGTTAGAAAACAACCTGTGCTCTTCATTGCATTTCTTGTTACAGTTAACAAGAGAAACACTTCCAAGTTTGCAGACTCCCACTGAGATGTGAGGAACAAGCAGATTAATTTCATTAGCACACATCACCATATGTAATAAAGCTGTAATAGGCCAAATGCTCCAATTTACACTCATGAAACTCCATCTCACTCCAGCCACAGTGTTGTTACACTTTCATGAAGCCAAGGAGGGAAACAGATCTGGCAACTGTCACAGGGTGGAAGTACAAACAATTTTTCCCTTCACCACTACAGCTTTGTAGAGTTAACAAAAATATAAAACCATGAAAGCTTACTTCACTCATTAAAGAGATCTGACTCACTAAAAAGGGATCACTGTGTTGAGTTAGGAGAGGTCAGTTTGACATAGATACTAATTCAATGGCCAGAAGCTGTGAAGTTAGCAACTAGCTAGAGTTACTGTGTTTCTTTTGCCTTTTTTCCCTCATTACCCAATGGTAGCTCTTGCAGAAGGAATTTATGCAGGCAGGCAGTAGCTCCTGAGAGTTCATATAGCTGCGTCTGTGATTTTGGAATGGATACATCCTTCTGCTAACATCACTGGCCATTATCAGATCATCAAACGATAATGTAATGATGATAATTTAATGCAACAGTACCAGAATTACTGTCTGTGGCAATACCTTTAACATCATGCATGCTTTAACGCTATATAAAAATTTTGAGAAGATGAATATAAGTTCATAAGGCAATGATATTCATGTTAAAATTAAATGGTAATGGGAGTTTTATAAGTACAAGAATATTAGTGAGTGCTTGAAAATAAATTCAGCATTAACAAATGAAAATAATAATCCATTCAAGTATGGAAAGCAATAAGAAACATTCTATAATAAATTTCTCAATGTATGACTCACAGTCTTATACCGAGACTTTTTCTTACTCAGAATAAGAAAAAAAAGACTCAAGATGATGTATGGCTATCTCTAGAAGCTCCTGTGCCTGAGCCTGCTTACATCTATTGTTAACCAAAGCCAAGTCTGAGAAATCACAAACATATGACAATTTTCCTTCCTGCTGCTAAAAATTCTGCCTAATCTCCCAGCAAGTGGTCCCATTTGGCCCATATTCAAAGCTTGAAAAAGATCCCAGTCTCCTATAGCTTAATATAATTTGTATGTCAATTCCATAAACAGAGGCATTACAAGAAACCTCCTGGCTGCTAACACCTTTACAAACGTGAATACATTTCATACAAACCAAGCAGTAAGGAACAGAACGTGCTTTTCACCAGGCTGGCTAGCACAGCCACTCAGCCTCAGGTTGAAAGGGAATGTTTATATGGCACAGTGGTCTTTATTTTGTACAAATACACTGATTTTAGTACCAAGCAGTATGCACAAGTCCTTTACGTTACAAATCAGCAAGGAGCTCCATTAATTTCAGCCAGCACAAGATCAAGCCACATGAAGTGAAGGCATAGGCAGTAAGGTATTACATTTACTTCAATTTCTCCTATACTTAAGTCTCTTTGTATTTGTCTTATTTAAATTCACTCTGGAAAACAGAAAACACTGGGGTTTCAACTGATCTGAAAAATCAGTTTTAAAGGCAGCAGCACTTTTGCCTCAAGGAAGGCTCCAGCCAGAGTAGGAATTGGTGCTTACAGCTCAGCAGAGATCATTATCATACTGTGAGTTTGCTCAGTGAGATTCATTCCACACTTCCACTGTGCCAATGTTTGCTTTATTCAAGCAAAAAAGGTTCGTAATTACTGACCCACAGTTATTACTTGACAAACCACTGTTGTGTTTTAAAATAGAAACAAGAGATGCTATTTTCCATTTGCACCTAAATAATTGCAAGGTAATCAGTGGTGTGTCGCTAGTTAGGGAGCTCAGTGAGATTTAACCTATCAAAGTAAGTGCACCTATTTGTAATCACCACATCTGCCTCCTGTGATGGTTCATGTTCAGATGCAGAAACCCCTCTGCAGAAAGCACACCTTGTAAGGAAATCCAGTCAGCAGCTGCTGTCAGTGGTACACACAACAGTTTCTCCTTGTGACACCGACTGGAAAGCACAAATATGGCAGGTAGAGCAAGAAGGGCAAGCATCAGCAGGTTAAGAAAGGAATCTTCTGGACAAAGAGCAAAGGCCTGAGAATCAGGAGACCAATTCTCTTTCACGGGCTGCAGTAAAATTACTGAGTAACCCAAAGCAAACTGATATATTTACAGTTAAGATTAAGCCAGTCAGGCTGAAATATGAAGTGTTGTTTGTAATGTCTCTAATTCAGTAAAATTTGTGATAAGAGCCCAATTGAGCTGTTGTAGAAATGAATCTAATAATCCTATGTAATCTAATAATAATTAAAATCTAATAACAAAAGGAATCACTGCAAAATCAGGCAGGGGGTTGGAGGTAGTTGTACTTGGTATAGTGGAGAGCTGTTGTTTTTCTAATTCTAGTTTATGTTTGTACTTTCCTGTTCATTATGTCCACATTTGCAAGCAATAAAAGGGCATTATGTGCTGGTCATTCCATCTGCTTTTGAGATAAATCTATGTTAGCATTTCAAAGGGTCAAGGAACTCTCCAGGGCAAACAAATTCTGGAGTGCTGATGCCAGATGGCGGGTATATAAAGTGGAAAGAGAGAAAAGCAATTCAGTGTGTTTCTGTTCTAGGGAGAAGTTTCACCCAGAAGGACAGCGAAAGAGGTGAGAAACTACTGAGAAATTGCACAGGCGGTTTTCTTCTGTAACATGTTGCTTTCTTTGCATCTGAAATGTTTAGGGAAGGAGAGGAGCTGCAGTTCTTGCTCAGGCAAACCTCTTCCAAAAAGGCATCAGGAATATTTAACTGAAGAATTAAAGGTTAAATTCATTACACCCATAAAGAATTATGCATTTATTTACATAGGAGGTTCTAGATTTATCTGTATAACTCACTAATGTGTAATCTGTACTTACAGAAGCTCTATTCTCGCAGACAAAATGGCTTTTATCTTGCATTTTTGACTGAACTCTACAAAAGAGACAGAAAACAATCCGTCAGATTATTAGGTACAATTGAGCATAACCTCAATGAGGCCATCTTATCTACATAATTTATCCAGCTCAAGTGTTTCCTTATACTCTACTATTAGTTTGTCAATTCTGTAAACAGAAGCATTGCAATTAAATGGGTAATTTCCCAGTGCACAGAAGAACTCAGTAAGTTTAGGAGCTGATCAATCTTTTCTTAAATCTAGTGTAGCAGTGGGATGATAAATTCATATCTGTGTGAGAAATTTAAAAACTGTTTCTCTGTTTCTTAAATACTGAAAACTATAACATACAGCCCGAAGGAATGCTTTTTCACAGGCCACCAAAGATTGAAAATATGTGGCAGAAGAATAAGCGTTTAGACATAAGCAAAGGAAAAGGAGAATGAGTGTCCTAATATTTGTATGTATAAATCTCCTGAGTATATTTTAGTTGTGTATATATATGTAGCTTTCTTAAGCAGCTCTTCTTTTTACTGTCAGGACTTTTCCTACAATTAAAGGATATCAGTATAGACTTCTCTCCGTACAGGAAAAGAACTGAACAACAATGCTGAGGTTTGCCATCACCCTCTTTGCTGTCATCACATCATCCACCTGCCAGCAGTATGGATGTCTGGAAGGGGACACCCACAAAGTGAAGCCAAGTCCAGAGCCAAACATGCATGAATGCACTCTGTATTCTGAATGTAAGAATGGTTTAGTTTTTGCTGGAGCTAGTCTAGAAGTCCAGTTCCGTACACACTGATTGTTCCAGCCATTCCTTTAGCTTCTGAAAAATACATTAAATGGATAAGTTGCATTTGAAAAACCTCCCTCAATGTCATTTTGCTGTATGCAACTAAAGAGTAAGACTCTGGTCCTTAACAAAGTCAGCTGCAAAACTCCCACTGTCTTTATTTACTGTGTTTAAGAAGCAGATGCATTTTACTTTTCTGGAATCTCTATCTGCTTTAAAAGGCTTACAGCAAAGATGGACTCAGCCTATTGTCATGAAGTATAAAAATATTTAAAACATGTATTTCTCTCTTGATGGTACTAGCGAATTAACAATTGTCCCTATTAAATTATTAAAAATAGCAGTGCTTAATTAATTGTAGCAGATTGCAACTGCATATAGTTTTCCACACAAATTGCAAAAGGTTAAACTTTCATACTGAGCAAATTATAGTAATATTTTTTACAGTTCTTAAATTCTCTTTTCCTGTTTGGTAACTCTTAAAATCACCATCCATCAGCATATAACATCTGGTAGAGCAGTAGTAAACTTCACAGGGCTTCCTGGACACACCTTTACAAAGCAGTGTTCATGCCAGTCTATCCCACTTAGCATTCACATTGCTGCTTCCAAAAACTAAAACATTAGAGCTCGGGTGCATCTTCTGCTTAGTACCAAAAGACTTTATCATGTTATGGACCAAAGAGATTCACCTTATATTTTAAGCCTTCCAGAGTGTTAAAGAAAATCCTTACTGTAAGATCTTTGTTTCATTCCTAACAGCTTCCTGTTGCTATGCAAACTTCACAGAGCAATTGGCTCATTCCCCAGTAATTAAAGTAAGCAACAGCTACTGGAACAGATGTGGGCAGCTCAGTAAATCGTAAGTCAGCTTTGATGTTGTCTGTGTCCTGGTTCAGTGGAGCTATGCTGTAGCAGCCACATGGCTAACACTAACTGCCCGCACATGGACTGGCCCTGTGCTGCCTAAAGAGAACGCCGCCTGGTCCAGTTCCCATCATCTCTCCTCTACACCAGAGCAACATCTGGCTCTTCTTTTTCCCCTCTCACAAAAGCCTTAATCCTTAAGTATAAACTTTTTGTGCAGAGAGATTTATGCCTTTTTCTCAAGGAAGAGTTATGCTTTTTAAAGCTTGCTTTCAATATAGAACCAGATCTGGCAATGCAAAGCAGTCATAAACCCAGCAGGTAATGACCATGCTGCACCTCTGTACAGAGCAACATCACATTCCAGTGAGTGCAAACCCTAGTCAGTAAAGATCTGCTTCTTTCTCTCTGTTGAGAAAGCAGATCAACTAGATGATTATATCTTCCAAACAAAATGCACAAGAGGCCAGAAATAAAACTTCTGAATATTTAGAATAAAAAATCTTGTAGTCTTGTACTCCATTTGGTAACCATGGAGAATTGGAGAATGTCTCCATAATTCAGATTTTTAATACCCTGTTAGATGCTAGAGCTGTGAAACACGGCAAGTTAGAGAAATAAAGGAATGAAAGTACAAAACAATTAAGCAAAAACAGATGTGGGGAAGTCACAGCTATTGCCTGCCACTCCCAGAAGAGCAGCAACACTGTTTTTAAGCAATTTCAGCTGGGCTGTGGGAAAATATAAAGATCGGTGAAACTGTCAGACTACAACTTAAAAATATTTTATACTATAGTTCCAAACTACGTTTTATTGCTGTCTTGCGTCATTTGTGCCAGGAAAACTGAAGGCCCCAAAAGTTTATGGAAAAGCTACACAAATAGGGCTGAAATACGCACGGAAACATTTGTGCACTCTTTAGTTGGCTATGGTAATTGCACAGTCAGAGTCTGTACACAATACCAAAAGAATGATACAAACAGGGCAAAATGATGCTTTTCTGCTTTTCTCCTAGTCTGCAGTACTGCATCCACATCAAAGCAGGCCTAGAAAATTGAAGTTGCAGCCTTAACACTGAGCAACATGTTTATCTGAGGCTTTTCTCACCCACAACAGCTGTGAAGATTTCACAAAGAAAATTGAGTGCTTTTACCGGTGTTCTCCGCACGCTGCTCACTGGATCAATCCCAGATATACTGCTGCTATTCAGTCTGTTCCACTGTGTCAAAGCTTCTGTGATGACTGGTAGGTTCAAATCGTTATCAAAATATCTTTATTCAGCTTTAATATGCCTGTTACTCAGAAGTCAGAGAGAGCAGGTGGATGAAGCACAGTCTTCCCAAACAATGAGCAACAAGATTCCATAGTGCTGCATCACTTGTAAAGCTTTTCGCTTGTTTTTCCAGCTCATTTCTAGTTTGCCATCTCTGCTTTTTCCTCTGCTAAGCTGCTGCCCTGCATAATAATAATGTCCCAAGCTGAAAGCAGGATGGAGTCATTCTCTGTCCCAGTTCAGGGACTCAGAGGCAGCACCATGCTGCTCTCCACAAGGGCACTGCGTCTGCTCCTGAAACACCCACCTCCACAGCTCAGCCTTGTGCAGTTGGGATTTTAAGTCTAAATACTTGATTATGATACAACACATTTATGTGTATTAAAAAGGCATTGTGAAATCATGGAAGCAGACATTTCCTATGTGGTTCTCAATTAATATATATATAACATATATATATAAGCTTAATTTCTAAGTTTTTCATCCTTACCCTTCACTCTTTCCTTCTGTCACCCTGTCTCTAACGTCACTTCTAAAAGCCTGAACCTCAGAGAAACAAACAAGAATAGTAACAAGCAAGCAGAGTAGCATTTGACTTTGTTTCCCAAAATACAGCATTATGGAATCAGATTACTTTTTGAGTGCAAAATATGCAGCAGCACCTATTTGTCCTCAGTCTTGGAGTAGGAACACTGTATCTCAGCACTCAGAATCTTAAACCTTCAAACTAAATATTTCTGAAACATGAAAGCATTTGGACACTAAAGCAACAGAGTTGCCAGTGGGCCTTAAAACAGGTCTACCCGCAAAGTAATAGAACACCGATATCCCTGAAACAATGTAAGTATAGAATCTACATCAGTAGTAGCACACACAGCAAATTGCTACATTCAGTGAAAGTGTAACAATGAAAGGAAAGGGAATTAAGTTTATTTTGCACGCACTTCAAATCCTTTTCACAAGGATGAATTGGTTTAAGCCAGTCTGAGTACCTATGAGATTTATACCCAAGCACACGGTGGATCAGTACTGTATCACAAAACCCTCACTATTGCTTGGATACTACCAGAACCTCCAGGTAAACAGCATTTTTAACTTTTATTGTTAGAAAGTATATGTGTATGTGATTGAGAGCTGCTGCACAGGGACAAAAAACCGGTCTCTTTTCCTGGTAGGGAAAAGGCTCAGCTCTAAGCAAATACTAAACAATGATCTATTGCCCCTGTTGGCGTCACAGCTGCCTGGCTTGAATCAAAAACGTGAAGATGATCCATTACAGTGCTTGCTGCTTTGTATGCCTGCCTAATGCCAATGTCAAACCCATTCCCTCACCCTGCTTAAGGCCTGAGGCAAGAGAAGAGCTTGGCCAGAATTCCGACCCTTTCTGGTGATTTAAAGTAACATTTTTTGTGTGTGTTCTATTCATTGGAGTCCGCTCAGCACTGCTAGTGATGTGACCTACTTTCCCCACATGCCGTGTGCCTGCTGAATGCTGTATGGCTTTGTGGCCAGAAATGTGCAGAGGACTCTGAATGAGCAGTGGCTTCATTTAAAAGAAATTCATCTGACTGGCTTGGGGCCTTCCTTTTCTTCCTATTGTCTTAGAATTGCTTCTTCCCACTAACCCTAAAACTATTGCTTCTGAAAGAGCCCCAAATACGTGCCATTGTCTGACCCACCTGTGAGGTGTCCCCATGCCATTTAACAGAGAAACAGCTAATTATATAAAAAAAAAGACAATTAAAAGACAAAAGCTTCAAAATAAAAATACCCTACCCTGTGTGCATAGGGAGCTGGTATATTTGGAGAGGATATTTTAAATATTTATGTTCAAGATTCTCACAGGTTATGATTAATGTCTGAAGAAACTACTTACGGGTTTCTGGACAGCAAAAAATCAAATTTATCAGAAGTCATGATTTGTCATAAACTTAGCTTCCTAATTACTTCCACAGGGAAAGAAAATCCCATAAAATAGAATTATGCCTTGCTACCTTCTTGTATAATGAGCCACAGGGTCAGGAAACAATTGTAATTAGTAGACATCTCACCCAACAATTCAATAGGTAACAGTGAATAAAAATATAAATATTTTAATAATCATATTTAATTCAGAGTCCCAAGCAAGCCAGAGATAACAGCATGGATACCCCAGTTCAGTCAAGTTCTGAAATACACACTCTTTAAGTTTGAAAAGTATAACTGAAGGTGACACTAATTTAAAAACAAAACAATAAAAGCAGTTCTGCCCTCCCCTAAACTCCAACGTTGCTCCTCCATTCCTGCACCTGTCCCACCCACCTGCCAGCAGTGCTGCGGAGCAGCCATGAAGCATCCCAGTAAGGGAACACGTTGGGCTGGGTCACTGAATCACAGCTTCTCACCTAATCAAAGCTTCAGCAAAGGTCTAGACCTTCAAACATTGATTTGAATGTGAAAATGAGAAGCAGGAACTTTTCAGTCCTACTACAGTGTTTCTGTGTGCACTGCAAATATATCTGAAATCACTTTGTCTGTCATTGCAATAAGAAGTACAAAAGGTTAGGTTCAAATACATGAAGTCTACTCACTTGTAATTAGTGCTTGTACTTGAGCAACAATTTAGAGCCCATGTGCTGCCTGTGAGTTCGTTTTCCAGGCACTGTGCAGTGTCAGTTCTGCAGATGTGCACCTTCTTACCTTGCTGCACATTCAGATGTATTACAACGTCTAGATCCTGTAGTTCTGTGACTATATGACAGCCTCGTATTTCATTTTAAAACATAAGTCTGCTGTCCTTGTGATATCAAAGTAATTTTGGAAACATGACCCTGAAGATTAAAAAAAAAAACAAACAGAAAATATACCCCAAAGCATTAATTATAATGAACACTACTCTCACTTTTTGAAAGCTATGCCTCATGGTTTTGGCACTCCCAATTTCTGGTGTGAACAGACCGCCCGAAGCCATTGAGACTAAGTCTGAGTAGATGTTAGCTGATCTGCAGAAAGAGATCCTTAACAAATTAAGGATTTGAGCCAAAGTAAGAGCCAAAAGTAGGACGTAAAAAGAAGTGGAAGGAAGGAAATGATGTAAGGTGATGGTAGGTCATAAGATCTCTCATCACATAGAACAGCCAGTTGCGTACCTTACTGATTCCAGGCCACTTACAAGCTTTTCTTTACCTTATTGCTTACAACTTAAAAATCATTTTAAATTTAAAATCATAGACCCTACACTTCACAGGGCATTTATCTTTCCTCCTGCACTTCAAGCTTAACTTCTTTGAAAACATTCTGAGGCTGACAGCTGTAGCTTACATGATTTTATTGCTTATAGGTCTTCCGTATTTCACTGAGCAGTTCCCACAGCTGTCTCATGCCCAGGAATTACCATTCATCCTTTCCCACAGTAATTCATAAATATCTCCCACTTCTCTCTCAAGTGACAATCCACACTTAGGATACCTGTGCTATGCCACAATGCTGATGGTCAGCATTCATAAAACTCCTTCCCACACAGTATTCCCTCTCCTCAGTAACATCAGCAAACTTCACCAAGCAGAAAAGATCACCACAAATGAATGTTGCTTCCCAGAACACGGAGCATCTACTTAAACCTGTGAGCATGAAATGTCATGGGTGATCTGCTTAGTTTTCATTGGGATTTAGGTCTTCCTGTCTGGTTCAGAGTTTATGTACATGTCAAGCTAGGATAATGTGCACCTTTCTTGAAGATCAGTTGATACAGTGCACTGTGTGACCACACCACATTACTAACGCAGCCCACGGGCTTTTCAAGTTGAATCCCCGTAGTTCACTGAAAAACACTAAGGAAAATAATTGTATCTTCCACACTGATCTCCATGAAGGTACGAAGCCTGCAAAGATGATTCCATTTGTGCTCGTAACTGGCTGACGGACTGGAAACGGGATGAAAGTGGAGAAAACCACTGTAAGAGTAAATGCATGCCATACAGGGAGGTAAGAAAACACAGACAGTTGGGGCACAAAATAAATAACACTGAGTACTTCCTTTTTCCTGAAGACATGGGTTTAAAATGCAATCTGTAAATTATTTTCTATTTCAACAATTTCAAGTTATACCTATACCTACCACCAGATTTCTCAAATATATAGTTTTTAAAGCATTTTTATGTAGATCTCTCACTAAATATATACACTTCTAATTAATCACTATTCATACCGCTTGTGAAACAGAAGAAAATGTTCCAGCAGAACTGATACATTAACCACAGTGGAGGTCAGAAAGTAAAAGATAAAGGAACCTGGATCATGTAACAGAAAGAAATAGTGAATTCATTTTATAAGATTTCCCACACAGTGTAAAGCTTTACACACCTCTGCCTTTTTACACTGAGAAGCAAGTTCCCAGGTCACTAAGGAACTTCTAAGGTTTTCTTACTTATTAGGCATCCTTGCCCTCCTCTCTATTTTATATTGTCACATTTGAGTCCTCCATACTTCAAATCCCTAAGTCTTTGCAGTCTTCTAATTACCTCCCTTTTACTCTCCATAGACCTACCATAATTCTGCTGTTCTCTTTTGTGTCTGCCAATTGCTAGACACAGCTAGCTTTTTTCACTTTAAATCTGTTAGTCAAAAAGCAGCACTGAGAAGCCTTCTGGGAGCTCATCCCGACTTTCTGAGAAGGCTTGGGACGGTTGGGATAACTGGTTTTATGAAGAAAAGTGTATAAAATGGGAAATTAAAAGACTCATGGGACCAAAGTCGCCTGGAACCTGATTCACAGGCCTTCAAGAGTCACGAGGGATTTCTCTCAAGTGATTCAAGTATGTTTAGGATCAAGGCTAGATTATACAGCTCAAAACCACAACACTTATTGGAATATTATTAACAGCTAAACTTCACTGGGTTTATAAAACCAGTCCAAACTAAAGAAGCGAACAGAACTTAAGTGTAGTTCTTAGAGACTGGTAGTACATCTTGCAGAGATCTCAAATGGATTGTTTTGAATTCCGTACAAATTCATGTACACCCAAAAGTTGTTCAGCAATTGATAGAAGACGCAGTCCAGGATTTGTGTCTGCTCTGCAGTGACACTGATCAGCAGGGCCAGGAAGATGGCCAAAAACCAAACGGGCTGTGGAAACTTGCAGCTTAGTTTTCCAGATATGCTAAATCATCAGCAGTTCCAGATGAAGTGAAAGCAAAATGATAATTTCCATAAGCAATCTTCAGTCCTGTTTAAACTGTTCCTAGTCCAGAGGTAGAAGGTCCAAACTTAAATCTCCATGTAAATATTTCTTAAAGAAAATATACCATCTGCTAGGAAAAAAACCACGCAGCAAATCCAGAGGTCTTATCACTTGAAGGCAGATGCAGCAATTCCTAAACTAAGCAGAACCACACCCAACACTGCCCATGTTTTTTACCAAAAATAGGCCTGCATGGTAAGTATGAATAAATATTTATTTTCTTCAGAGCAATTATAAAAACATATTTCCCGTATGAAAATGAAATTACATACAAACACTGGAGTCACTTGATGGAAAAGAAAGTTACTGCCATCTGGAAGGCCCAGAAGGTTCTCCCATGTCAGGGCACCGTGGGCAGATGCTTTCATCTGATGCCCTCAGCAAATGCAGGGAAGCAAACAGCAGTCCTACATGTGACGTATGCAAGTGTTTGTAAGGACTACTTGGAACAAATGAGGAGTATTTAAGAATGTACGTGGATCGTAGCCAGTTTTGGTCTGGCTAAAGTGAAGCACATTTTATCATTTTTCTCCCAGCAGAGTGCTTCCCAAGTGATGTTAATGCACAGATCAGAACACCGTCCAAGAAGCTGAACAATCACAAGAAATAATTTAAGTACACTTTTGTTAAATGGGCTGTGGGCACATTTTGTTTGCTGCAGCATTCTGGCTATGCTATGATTTTTAAGCAAAGCTTGAAGGAAGGTCAAAATTAAATGGCTAATTTAACAAGTATCAAAGCATGAATGTGTGCTACAGAACCTGTGGAACGTAAGAATAGGATGTAGCCATGACTCCTGTGTATGGACCTAAGAAAACTCACAACAGCTTTTAAATATTTTCTCATACGACCAGCTAAAAGCAGGATCTGTACAGGAACTGGAAGAAAATGTCTCATGCTGCTTGAAAGTACAGGAATAGCTGGAAAGAAACAGCTAAAATCTGGCTGCCCAAAGGAGAGCAAGGGGAGAACCAGATGCAGCAACCTCTCCATTTCTGACCCCACATCTCTTCCAGTGCACTGACCAACCTCCACAGTCCTCCAGCAACTGTAGCATCCATGGAGCAAGCTGGTGAGATGTAAAAAGCTGTATTACAGACTAGAGCCTTTGGAGCTATTTGGAATGGATTCTCCATTATTTGCACTTGATAGATTTCTTAATCAAATCTGATTATTATATTTCATCTCACCTGCCTTCTGCACAACACAAGCCAGGGTTGCTTAGCATGTGAGGACACAAGGAGACATCTCATAAGGACAACTTGTGGAAAATAGGTGGAGCAGAAGCAGCCGCAGGACTACTGTCCCACTTCCATATACTAGAGTTAAATCTATAATCACTAACTGTTGGCACACAAAACACCTTCCATGCAGAAGTCTCCTGACCATGAAGACAGATCACTCTCTCCAAGATTCACAGATCTTTATATGTACTGCTGCAACTGGCAAACCAGCTCAGAACCCAGAAATTACAGTGCAAAAGAAAATGCCAAGGGAATAGTGAGTCCATGTCACAGGCAAGGACTGCATGTGATATCACAGATGAAACACAGCTTCCTTTTGAGAGATTCTGGTGACAAAGCAACTCAGTGACACAGTCAGCAACAAGATCAGCAGTCCAGCTGCCTAGTTCTCTTTCAGTCATTAGCAGTCTCTTCTCTTTAATTCCTAAGGCTTCTGCTCCTGTCATCACTCCCACCCCCCACTCCATTTTTAGCATTACTTGGGAAGTATCTCAAGTTTCTTCCAGAAACAGGAAAGACTGAACTTCAACAACAAACACACAGCAGAAATGCAGGCAAGACAAAGTATATATCTTGCCCACTCTGTGGCTGAACATGATAATTCCTAAGCTTACACTCTTTAGGAAAACTCAAGCTGGGAGGACAGAAGATTGTCACATGAGCCTGGCAAACAAGAAATGTCTTTGTTGTTTGGCTGCACAGGTCCTGTGACAGAGGACTTACAAAGTGACAGGGCACTGAACAGGCCAAATTCACCTGCAGAAAGTTGCTGCAGCTCACAATTTCTTGAGGCAATAAATAAAGCTTTTTGGAGGCAGGCCGGGGCCCACAGTTGTAAGTCTTCTTTTCATCAAGCAGTTTCTGAGTTATGCCCCTTCTTCTTGCAAGGTTCTGCCTGGTCATGACGTACACTGCAGCAGGCACAGCGTGATCCCTCGGAGCTGTGACTCCACTGAACTGTCTCTAGCTTGCAAATAGAGTCCAGTTTTGAAAACACTCAGTTTGGCACTTTCAGCAACACTCAAAACCAGAGACATGTCAGAGTGTCCTGACATGCTGCAAGTCGTGCAGCCTCTTGCACACAGCTTTACTCTGTCAGCCCCAGGGTGGAAACAATGGGCTGGCTGTTCATCACACTGCACTTTGTGTAATCGCTTGCTCTCACAACTGGCAAAGGGACTGAATAACATTGTAAAGGAATGAAGTACAGCACAGAGCTGTACAAGACAGTGGATGACTGCAGACTTTTTCATAATTCTGTACCATTTCTAAAAAAGTGATGTTTCTCAAATTAATATAAGTCGATTTTAACTGCATTCTTTTTAAAATGTGATTGATGTATTTTTCTTGCTTTACACACAGATGTATGCAAATGGGACCGACATGTGCCAGAGTATGTGGGGGGAATCATTTAAGGTGAGCGAATCCTCTTGCCTCTGCTTGCAAATGAACAAGAAGGACATGGTGGCAATCAAGCATCTCCTCTCTGAAAGCTCAGAGGAAAGCTCCAGTGTCAGCAGCAGTGAGGAGCATTCCTGCCAAAAGAAACTCCTGAAGTTTGAGGCACTACAGCAAGAAGAAGGGGAAAAGACAAGATGAACATTGGTAGATGAATGTCAGGAGGAGAGAAATCATTGTGGAGGTTGGGCTCAGGGCATCACAGCAGCCTGTCTTATCCCTCACTTCTGAGAACACAATAAATCAATGGTTGGCTATATTAATCCTTCTCTGAGTTTTTCTGCATATGCATCACAAAGCTCCCAGGCAAGTTAGCACAGGTGTAACCTTGTGACTTGAATTAGAAGCCTGAAGGTAACTTCTAGGCTTGATTTTCAAAGACAAGAAGCACAGGCAGCGCTTGCTGATTTAAGGTGGAACAGTGAGAACTAGAGACCTCTGGAAGGCCATACCAGTAATGCACCAAATCTTCAACACTAATCCTTCATTAGCATAGGTATAATCTCTCATGTCACAAGTTCCTGTGTGCCAGACTCTGCTCAGACAAGGAAGAAATGTTGCAGGCAGAAATAGGTCAGTAGGTCTGATTACTGGCATTTGAAAATGTATTTTTTTTTGTATCTCAAAAAAATACTGCTATAACAGGGGATTGTGGTGTATTAGATAAACACTGGATCCATATATGACCAGTATACAGTATGCATAGGCTGCCGCTCTAAGTTTCTACTTTAAACTACAGTAGCACAAAAGTCTCCTACACCATGAATTTGAAGAATAATTTTGAATGCAATTAATCCCTTGGAATGACTACAAATAGAATGATCTCTGCATCAGGGAGGACCCACATGAGGGGTTTCCAATCAGTATTTCTGCTTGCCAGCATCACTGCTACCGTCAAAGTAAAACCAAAGCCTGCACCAGTCCCAGAGGTACTCATCAGGTAAAGATTAATCAAATGCTAGTTTTACTTAGGCTTGCATCCTTCCTCTAACATCACTGGAGAGCAGAGAGTTCCATGCCATCCTGTACAGCCTTTCACAGTTGTATCACCAGGGCAACCATGAAAGGATTTAATTTTGGGAGTCACATTATCATCAAGAGAAAATCCATACCCTCTCAGTGCTAGCTATGGAGCTCGGTACCTTACAACATGTAAGGATATGGCCTCCAGCTGAAACAATGACTTGGCACACCCCTTTACACTAGGAGAATGTTAAAAATCCATCACACTCTTCTCTAGACTGCTTGTTTACTTTAATGGTTTCACACAGCTGCAATAGTAATGCTAGATCCATTAGGTCATGTTCTGCCTCTCACTGTAGCTAACAGTGGCATAATTCCTACCGGTACTGAACTGCTTTTGGAATGATACGTCGTCATGTCTGTATTTCATGGCTACTCAACCTCCTGCTTCTACATTTTGAAAAGAACAGCTAGTCAATTCTTAAAGAAAATGCACTTCTGTAAAGCTCTGCCAGTCTTTTTTTTACCCTGATTTACTGTTTTCTTTCCTGTCATTCTTGATTGCAGACACACCTGAATCGAAGTAGAAAGTTTCCTGTTTTTTATTTTGCTATGCAAAATTAATTCACTAATTAATCATTCCCTTTCACTAGCATAACTGCAGCTTATTCTGCACAGCCACTGTCAAGCATTTCCTTTATGTTCTTTGCTAAATTTAGCACATTTGTCTCTGCCTGCATCTCTGCTCTATTTTTCCCGTCTGCCTTTATTCTCTTTGCTCCAGCTCACCAAATCACCCTTGAAACCATTTTAAACTAAGTCCTTCCATGCTCACTTTCAGGACAAGCCATGAGACTGGTTATGCATGCTCCTGAACAGCACTGGATCCTACAGCAACCAAGGGGCCACGACAACTGAAGTGTCTCTGTATTTAATGCCACTAAGATCTTTATCAGAATGTCACAATGGTAGATGAAATACCATGTGAAACATGTTGTGAAACGTATTTCTACACTAACCTGTAGGAACCAGACTTACAAACTTTATTAATAAGTTAACTTGGATTTTCCAACAAGATAAATTTGATAAAAATAAAAAACGTGTGCCAGTTATTGACTTATTTACTATATGACTAAGCATCAGCTTTCGTATCATGCTACCTGGCTCTGATGTCATGTTAACAATAACACAGCTAGCTGGGTCACTCTGCCTGTTCTGCTTATTTAGTTTTCTTTCCTTAAATACTGGCACAGCCGTGTGAGTCTTCTGAAACCCCACTGCAATGCCAGGAGCCATTAGCAACGAGAACTCTCTCATCAATTCCTGAGAGCTGGTTAGGATAGGTGAGCTGAGCCTGCTGCTTGAGAATTATTGATGTTACTTATGATGATGACCTTCAGTTTTAATACTCACAGACTTCATCATCCTTCTGCAATACAAATACTTAATTCTAATTATATTTCAGTACTAAGTGTTACTACCAAAACTTGCTTCCTGTATCTTGTGCCACTGGAAGGCTTTCTTCATCAGGTTTCTTAACAGTTCTCACCTTCAGTTTAGTTGTGCCAGCCACAATTTTCTCCAGTATCTCTAGAGCCCTAACCTATTTTTATAGTTCCTAATTCTACATTGATATTGATTGCAAAATAGCTTCCCTTTTGAAAAATAATAAATACCAATAATGATGACATTTTCAACAAGTGCTGCATTTTTCATGGACAGGTTTTACTAAAAGCATTTTATAAGTATTAATTAATCTTCAAAATACACTTGAGAAGAAGACAAGTAGCGAGCAAACTGAGCCAGTGGGATGGAGTCAGTAAGAAACTTATCTGATTGCTGCAAGTGTTGCAGAATGAGGACTAGCACAAACAAGTTTTCTTTCAGAGACTCATTTCACCCTGGAAATGAAATTGTGCTTTGCAAGGTAAACCTTGGTCAAATGTTATCATGTAAAAAATCACAAGAGAGATTTTATGAAATAAAACTTGCAGAAACCTGATCATCAAGGAAGAAAAAAAAAAAAACACCACACAATAAAACACGGTAGAAGTTATTAAACAATCCATTTCCATCACCTTGAATAATAACAAAATGATAAATGTTATCACTGTTAGCTTATTTCAAACAAACAACGTCATAATGGGCTGATTTTCCTAACTGAGATACAACCAGCCTGCTGGAAAAAAGAGAAAGCTGTAGATGAGGGCCTCTGAAGGACTTTTGTAACATTTGATGTGACATTCTGATAAAGAAACAGAGAAAACTGAAGTGCAAACAAAAACACTGCAGCAGAGGTTCAGAACTGCTCACAAACAAATTACAATATCACTATGTTTATGTTGTCATTAAATTCAGACAAGTCTTTTGTTAGGAATCCCAAAGGGTTTGCTCCTATTCTAGTCAATTAAGCAGACATTTTACAGACACTCTGTAGTACAAGAGCAGTATAGAAATGATTTTTTCTGACCAGAGAACTAGTTTGAGCCCCTAAAGGTGAAACTCTGCAAAGGGAAATGAAAAATGCTTGCACTGCAGAAAGGTAAATCAAGGAAAAAAGTAAGCAGGGAGATACACAGCAAAGGAACAGCAGAGCAGCCATGGAGCTGGGATGGGTATTAGTCACCGATGCCATTTACAGTCAAAACATTATACTGTGGAAGTTTTAATCCTTTAAGACTTCAACATATACAGAACCCTGGACATCCTGACTCACTGAGCACGCAGACACAGAACTCGCAGACATCCTACCAGCAATTACTCACAGCCTTCACGACAGATCTCACATTCCACAGAGGCACTGCTTGTGGAATGACCCCACTACACGCACAGGCTGTGGAATGTGGTGGGTATCAGGCAGAGATCCCTACGTAATGAGATTAAACTCCATCCATCTTCTCAATAAAATCAGCTCACAAGTTCTGTAAATGCAAGTGCAATACTTTCTGAGAGAAAGAACACAATCCTAGTATTGATATAACGACTACATAGGGAGCAGGTCAGGGTGAAGCAGCAGGACCACTCCCAACAAACAGTGAATAAAAAAGCCAGTCAGTGAAATCAATCACCTGCTTCAGCTAAGCATGAAGACGCAATGAGGATCAGACCCAAACCATCTGTCACTTTCTCACACCCCTAAGAATAGGCTGCAGAGATCCCTTCCTATTGAGATGTAACATCTCACAGAAACAAAAGGAGGAAACTCATCCTGCTGCACATTTTTGCTTCCCTTTAGCTACTAAAAGCATCTCTCTTCTACCTCTGTTTTGATCACCAACAGCTATCTGAGTCTTAGCATTCTTTTGGCCTCCTTCCTTGGAAATGTAGTGAGCTCTCTGTGGAGTTTGCCTTGGTTCCCCTCTCAGACAGCCGTGATTAATTCCATGTTCAAGCTCTTGAGTTAATTCTCTCATTAGATCACTTTCCTTCTTCATGGAATGATTATTCCCACAAGAGAAATGAGAAAAACTAAAACAATATTGTGTTAGTATTTGACACACTGCATCCAGGATGTTTACTTTAAATCAAGTTGCTTGGAATTCCTCCAGACCTTTGGCTTAAACAAGAATCTTCCAACCAATGTGGAACTGTAGTCAGTCACGTTGCACAATGTTCCTATTTCACTGGAATTTCAACAAACTTCCTGCTAGGTAAGAATACCCTGAATATAAACCTCTGTACACAAGTAAGTCAGAAGACAACACCTGAATTGCTGGAACACACTTTAAAGATTTTTCTTTTTCTGATTGTTCTGTATCGTACATCCATCAGCTCTCTAACCAAGACTAGTTGTAAAAGTGCAGCTTACAGCACAGTGCTGAAATGCTACCAGTGCTCCTCAAATCACACACCATTATCTGTGAACATCACATTCTGTCTGGAGGCTCTGGCAGCTCAGACTCTCCCCAGCTGTGCTGCCATCCAGGTGGCTCTGCTGGGTCTGGGTGCCCACTGCAGGGCATGGTGCCATTCAGCTGGACTTCAGCACAGCTTGCTTCTCAGTGCTAAGTGGATGCTTGGGAGAGTTTCTCAATAACAAGTTTAAGAATCTGTTTAAACTGACAACTCTCTTATCAGGCAGTTACCTCAACGTTATCCTTACCTGAAGCCATATTACAGTGAGAGCAAAAAAAGTACTTTATCACTTAATCAATTAATTCCAAAATAGTCAAAAAAGTTCAGAAAAGCTGAGAGTAGGCAGACAGGACAGGGGAGGGGGAAGAAAACCTCAAGTTTTTGTGCAAACCATATGTCCTGGGGCTGCCTATGCAGAAAAGCTAGCCCTCTTTTTCTCCACCTTTGATCAACTCCAATTCAGATCTTTACCCTACACATACATGCATAGTTGTTAAGATGCATTATTTCTTGCAGGAATAAAGCTCATCTTGCAGGAATAATAGCTCATGGGCCTGGCCCAATCCTGCCAAGAGAGCCTCCTCGTATCTGGCCTAAGTCTGGAAAACTTGTTATCTCACTGTAAAGCACAATGAATTTTCCTACTAAGATGGGAAACATCCAGATCATGAAGGAAAGCTTCTTCAGCCACTAAGCCTTCAGTAAACCTAAGACAACAAGAAGTTAGTGTGAGTATCTAATTAGAATCTAGTGCCCCTGGCTCATTAGAGGCTTTTGACTGAGAGTAGACAACATGATTACCAGCTCTATAGGGACTCATCACACAGCACACAACTCCACCACTTCACCAAGAAAACATGCATGGCTGAGACTGATGACTTGCATCATTGCTTTATGCATGCAAAGGTATTCACATGACATGTGGGCAAGTTTAGGCCTTAACAAAAAGAGAGTAGCTTGGAAGTGTAAAAAGCATAGTTCAGTGCACTACAGATATTTCTAATCCGCATAAACTCTCGTGGTTCTGCACTTCTCCAGTTTCAGCTTTCCTAGAAGTTTTACTTGAAGTTCTTACAAAATGTAGGGAAATTGAGCAAAAATGATTGCATCCTATGAGAGTTTTGTGAGCTGGACACCAATGCACGATATAAGCTCCTTTCCTTTTTGGTGAGGCCATTCAATCCTCCTCATCTGGTAGGTCACATGTATTAAAATACAAATGGTAGCTACAGCAGGTAATGAGAAAAGAGCTGAAAAACAGCAACTGAAAAGTGATTCCCTATCACAAAACATTCCACAAGGTTTGTCATACCTACAAACCTCATACCTTGGCTGAAAAGGTCTGAGTTTCACATCTCCTCTGCAAAGAGAACTTTAGCAATGAAGTATCATAAAAAACACTTTGGGATTATTCTTTGTATATTATGTCAAAACGATCCCCAAAGCTACAGGTACAGGAGACAGTAAAGCAAAACTGCACTTTCAAATCAATTATTGTTCTTGTTCTTGTAGATCTTTTGAGACTAAAAGCCCTTCATCTTATGGAGGAAAAAAAAAAATCTAAGACCTTCCTATAATAGAGAACTACAATACCTGGAGAAGTAACACTTATTAGCCACCCATTTTTGCTGCATGTTCAGAAAATATCATCCTGTACAAACAGCACCACCTGCAGGATTTGAGAGTGGAAGCAGACACCTTATTCAGCAGCACACTGTCCAGGTATCTGGACAGATTTTTCAAAGAGGCCCTCAACCAGAGAAATCTGAGCAGGCAAGGGACTCCATGAAATATTCCAAGGAATACTGCAGTGCTTCAGCCCCCTAGCACAGCACAGGGCTTTTTCAGAAGAAGGCCTAAAAATCTTGTCAGACTGCTCTCACTGAGAGGTCTTGATATTACAATAGCAGCACTTCTGTGCAGGTGTGGGCAGCAGGGCACACGGAGGAATACCTACCATGCCTTTTTTGACACCTGTCCTATGGGTCAGTCAGTACTCAGCTGGCTTACTGACAAATACCATGTTAGGAACCTATTCAATTAAAACTGAAATCATTTTTAATTCCTTCACTGTGATGTGTTGTCATTCTTGGTATTAATCAAAAGGCTTCTCATTACACAGCACAATTTCACTCTGTCAAATGTACTTACAGACTTATTACAAAAAAAAAAAAAAAACCCTAGTCTGCTTTAGGAGATGCACAATAGCATATGGGAGCATTAACTCCATCTTGTGTGGCCTTCGCGTGGTTATAAAAGAAACACGCTGAAGCAGCGCCCTCTTCTGTACATACAACTAGTCAGCCACATTAACACAGTATAGGACAGGCCTTCAGGGCAAAATTAGTTTCAACAATGCTATTCTGTGCCTGTAAATTTGGCACTATGGTGTGAAATCCAAATGCTGGCCAAGCGTCTAACAGCTGACATCAGCCTGCGCCTGAGCACTGAGAAGAATTCTAAGCCTTTTACTCACAGGCCACTTCCAATGAATAAAATGTCAGCACAAAGACAGCTCTGGATTCTTTTACTGATTCATCAATGAAAGAAAATTCTCAAAGAATTTATCAGCCTAGCTTAAAATCTATATTGAGCCATATCAGCATGCACCCAACGCATGTATCTGCAGAAACCTCACTTTTCTATAAAAGTATGTATTTTCTATGGATGTTTTTTTTAAGACCAGCTCAGAAGGTCGTTTTAACAATTCTAACTTCAAGAACAAAATGCTGATGAATGGAGAAAGCAACAGTCCCCAGAGAGTATCACAATTCAGATTTCTTTTCTGGAAGCACATTTAAAAGTTATTACAATGAAATACTGAATCACAAGAAAAGCCTGAGGGGCCATGACCATTGTAACTGCAAGCAGACATGTTTCTCTTTTCCCATACTCACAGTAAATAGATATGGAAGTGCTCCAAGAGGCTCTCTGATTTTTTTTTTTTTTTAATTTGGCTGCATGTCATGTTGCTGAAATTGTCATGGAAAATTCAGCATGGATGCTTTTGTATCAGTGCTGGCTTTTTCAGACCCAAGGAATGAGAGGTGTAACTCAGTATGTGAAGCTCTTCCCTTGGTCAGTGCCCAGACATGCAGTGACTCAGTGAATTACACAAAGATGGCCCTGCCTCAGGAACAGCTCTGACCCCAGGCACCCCCAAGGTACCACAAGGCACTGTGGTGAAGCATCCATACTGGAATGAAGAGGAAGACCCAAATGCAGCATGATGCCATACTGAAAGCAGGTGTGTGGGCTGGCCATCCTTCAAGCAGTGCTGACCATGATGCCACACTGAGGACACAAAGCCCCCATCATTCCATTCTCTAGAACTGCCTCAGGCAGAGGTTAGCTGTGGTCTCTCCTCAGAAAAGAATGTAATATAATCACAGAATCATTAAGGCTGGAAAAGATCACCAAAGCATCTAGTCCAACCCCACACCCATGCCCACTGACACATCCCTCAGTGCCACATCTCTGCAGTTCTTGAACAACTCCAGGGACGGTGACACCATCACCTCTCCAGGCAGCCTATGCCAGTGCATCACTGCTCTTTAGAAGAAGAAATTGTTCCTAATATCCAACCTGAACCTCCTCTGGTGCAATTTAAGGACATCACTTCTCATTATCACAGCTACAAGGAGAAGAGGCCGACCCTCACCTCACCACAACCTCCTTTTAGAGAGTTGTAGAGAGCAATGAGGTCCTCCCTGAGCCTCCTCTTCTCCAGACTGAACAATCCCAGCTCCCTCAGCTGCTCCCCATAAGACCTGTGATCCAGACTCCTTATAGCTCCATTGTCCTTCTCTAGACACACTCCAGGGCCTCCATGTCTACCCTGCAGTGAGGGGCCATCCTGCAGTGAAGGGTTGTCAGTTTCCCCCTCACAGACACATTACAGTGTCTGGGATCACAGCTGCAGAGGTAAGCCTGAGAGGGGTATGATTGTGGGAGTCTGTAAGGCAGTGCAGAAGGCTGCTATCACCACAAGGAGAACCACACTGCATCCCTTATAGAAAGGGACTCACAGGTAACACAGAGTCCAACTCCTGGCTCCACATGGGCCCACCCAAAATCCAAACCATATTTCTGAGAGCATTTTCTAAACGCTTCCATATCTCCAACAGGCTCTGTACCCCGGGAAGCCTGTTCCACCTGCTGACTGCCCTCACCCTCGGCACCACAGGCAGTAACGTCACCTAGCGGGAGACCGATTTAAGCCCACATAAAAAAAGCACCTTGCAGAGAAGGGAGCAGGTCCACGGGAATGTTGGCCAGAGTTGCAAACAAACAGGCTCCACAGGGCCAAGCGACGGGGCAGGCACACAGACAAAGGATCAGCACTACGAAGGCAGCCGCACTTCGAAGCCGGTCGAGGCCGCCTCTACGCATTTCTCGCCGCACGCCTCAGACGAAGGCGCGCACTCCCGCCACCCGCACTGCGCACGCGCTGCGGAAAGGCGCGAGCACCTCCCGCTGCAGGCGCGGGTGGGGGGAAGCTGCGCATGCGCGAGCTCTGCCCCTCCGGGCGGTCAGAGGGCGGGAGGGGCGGTCGCGCCTCAGTAAGCGTCATGGCGTGCGCCGCGGCGGGCAGCGCTGGCGGGAGCTCCTTTTCGGACCGGCACGCTCGCCTCCTGCTGGCTCAAATCAACCGGCTGCGCGTCGGGCAGAGCTTCTGCGACGTGCGGCTGGAGGTGGGCCGCGAGACGTTCTCCGTGCACCGCCTGGTGCTGGCGGCCAGCAGCCCGTACTTCGCGGCGCTCTTCGCGGGCGGCATGAAGGAATCGGGGCGGGACGTGGTGCGCATCGCGGGCGTCGAGGCGGGCGTCTTCCGCGCGCTGCTGGACTTCATCTACACGGGTAACGGGGGGGTCCCTCCGCGAGGGGGGCCGTGAGGGCGGCGGTCCCGTGTGTGGGAGGGGCGGGCGGTCTCTGTGGGGGGGGCTGTGCGGTCCGGCCGCGGGGCTGACGGGCTCTGGCGGCGCTCGGTTGCCCGCGCACGGCTTACAGCGGAGCTCCGCCGTCCTGTGCCCGCCCGCAGGCGTGGTGAGCATCGGCGAGCACAACGTGCAGGAGCTGATCGTCGCCGCGGACATGTTGCAGCTCAGCGAGGTGGTGGAGCTGTGCTGCGAGTTCCTGAAGGGCCAGATCGACCCACTGAACTGCATCGGCTTCTTCCAGTTCTCCGAGCAGATCGCCTGCCACGACCTGCTGGAGTTCACGGAGAGCTACATCCACGCGCACTTCCTGGAGGTGCAGGCTGGGGAGGAGTTCCTGGCGCTGAGCAAGGAGCAGCTGGTGAAGATCCTGCGGAGCGAGGACCTGAGCATTGAGGACGAGTACCAGGTGTTCCTGGCTGCCATGCAATGGATTTTGAAGGATCTGGGAAAAAGAAGGAAGTACGTAGTGGAAGTGCTGGAGCCTGTGCGATTCCCTCTGTTGCCGGCGCAAAGACTCCTAAAGTACATAGAAGGTGAGCACAAAAAGCGAGAAGTATCGGTTGCTTGTTTTCAGGCAAGCCGTTTTTAACTAATCTGCTTCTTTCTAATCTGCTTCTTTCCTCAAGGTATTCCAGATTTCAGCCTTCGGGTGGCCCTGCAAACTCTGCTGAAAGAATACTGTGAAGTCTGTAAATCTCCCAAAGAAAACAAGGTCAGCAGTTTTCTGCAAGCTTCTAAAGGTCGCCCACGGAGGAAAGCCAGGAAGTACCTTTATGCAGTAGGTTAGAATGTGGCTGTTTGAAACTTATAAAACAAATGATGAAGTAGTATCTTGTATTACAATACTGACAATAATGCTGGGCTACTTTTTGTTCAGTGGGAAGATGCAAAAAGAGCAGTACATTTCATCTGGCTGAGTTGCAGTCTTGGCTGCTTTCTACTTAAAATTGCACAGTGAGGGAGCATTCATATTTTGCACTGTTATGACATGGCATTCAAAGCCTACATTTCCCTTTTAAAAGTTATTTGCCTTGGGTGGAAAGCTGCAAGTCAGCATGGTTCACTACAGGAAATGCATACTGGCATATACAGATTCCCTGCGCTTGTTTTTTTTTTCTGAAAGTTGATGTTTTCTCTGTACAGAATATTTATTTGATGGGATACTTGCAGTCTCAAGTTTTCACCAGAGCTACAGCATTGTATTGAATGGAAATACTTCTTTTTTTCACCCTGTGAGAAGTAACAGAATTGTAAGATAGCAAAGGCTGGTCTCTGCCTTCTACCAAGAATATGAATGTCTGTAGTGATACATTGAGGTGCAGTAGCACAAGTTACCTGACCTTCAAGTTGACCAATGGAGAACTTAAGCAGTTTGGAAAAAGTCTGATTCCTACTAAGAGTAGAGTTCTGCTGCTATGAATTTTCTGTTGGGTTTTCTTCTGTGTTTTACATATTAAGATCATGGGGTTGAGCAGGAAGCTCTTACTCAGCTGTGACCTTTCCATTTGCTTTCTAGGAGGGTACACCCGACTGCAAGGAGGACGTTGGAGTGACAGCAGAGCCCTCAGCTGTGTGGAGCGATTTGACACTTTCAGCCACTACTGGACTACGGTGTCTTCCCTCCACCAGGCCCGTAGCGGGCTGGGTGTGGCTGTTGTTGGAGGAATGGTGTATGCCATTGGAGGTAACTCCTGAAACAAGCACTTACTTTGGGAACATTCATAATGCTAGTGGTAATATAAATGTTACGTAAATGTCTGTTATATAAAGTATGCATGTTCTTTTGAAAGAGACTACCCAATGAAATTAACTGAAGAGCTGATGTGCATCAGAGAGAGGCATTGGTCTCTTGCTATGATTTTAGAAAGCAGAATAGATTGTGTTTATTTTAGGAATATGTGCCCTGTAGTGGTACAGTAAATTTCTGTTCCTTAACTGCAATGTAAGAATATGATTTTTGTTATATTTTGATCATTCTTAGGCTAGAATTGGTAGATGCAAAGGTTTATTTCCTCACAAATAAGTGGTTAAGTAGCCAGGACAATATTGGTGTTGTGTCCTGCACTGATTTACTAACTTGATAGGGATTGGTGTTTTGTGGACATGTTTACTCTTGGGGATGGGCTTTTTTTTTTCAAAAGTAAGCCTACAGTGTTGCATAGGCCTAACACTGAACAGTCTAAAGTCCAGTACTTCTAGTTTTCCTGACTGAATTTAAGTCCTTCAGAGATGTAGAGTCTTGTTCTTGTTAAAAAGATACTGGAGAAATCATGGATAGAGTTTTTAAACATTATTTTTCCTCGAAGTAGTACTGAGGAAGCCAGCAGTAGGTAATATAAATCCTAGCTTCAATAATAACTGAATTAGGGTATCTTGTTTCTCTATGTTGCTGCTGTATACTGGTATAGTATACTGGTTAGGGTTCCAATGTTGGCCATTTCTTAGTGACCTTCTTTCCTCTTGTGGTATAGCAACTCTCAGGTAAGCATATAGATGTGTTCAGATATACCAAGAGGTGTTAGGTACTCTGCAGGTTTTGTGTACTACGGGTAATTGCATCTCTTCTCTCACTTGTAATCTAGTAGGAGCACACAGAATGAGAGGCAAGACATCTACTTGTCTGCCTACCTGGAAGGGCTTGTTATGTGTGTTTGCACAAGAATGTGATGAGTACCTCTACCTGCCAGTCAGTAAGGAATGCGTATGTATACTGTTTTTGTCACCACGGAACGCATTCTTTAGTCTTGAAAATTGTCAGTTGTGCTGCAAAATAAAATGTGTATAGCACTGGTTATTCACTCCTGATGTTTTCAGTAATGTTTCAGGGAACTGTTGATGAATGCTTTTTCAAGTGATGATTCAGTTCTGGGTATCAATGAAGCTTTTGCTGTTCTGGCTGTTTGGCTAGCTGAAAGGAAAATCTTGTATTCTAACACTCTTTTGTCCTAGAAAGAGTTGAAAAATTTGCATCTGCAGTGCAAAACAGTGTAGTTCCCATGTCTCTGTGCTTTCTCTTACTATGCAGGTGAGAAGGATTCAATGATTTTTGACTGTACGGAATGTTACGATCCTGTCAGTAAGCAGTGGACCATTGTGGCTTCCATGAACCATCCTCGTTGTGGACTGGGAGTGTGTGCATGCTATGGTGCTATCTATGCTTTAGGTAATTCTTTTTTCCACTAGCTGAGGTTAATCTTAGAGGTGTTAACTCATGGAACTTGTGAATTGTTTTGGTCTTTAATTTTATGGCTTAATGTTGCAAATCTGCAGTTTTGAAAAAGAGCTGTTCAAGAGCATTAGTACACCAGGTCTTTGTGGATTAGTTATTGTTCAGCTCTAACTTATTTCCCTAGCAGAATTGATGTTGTTCTGTTGCAGGACACACAGTGTTACCTGCAATTTGGACACTGCTTGATACCATTAAACTCTTTCCCGTGTTTGTTGTCATTTGCAGGAGGTTGGGTTGGAGCAGAGATCGGTAACACAATTGAAAGATTTGATCCTGAAGAAAATAGTTGGGATGTGGTGGGAAGTATGGCTGTGCCCCGTTATTACTTCGGATGTTGTGAAATACAAGGTGAGGATTGTTAAGCTTGTTTCCAAAACCCTCTTGGGCTCTTGGAACTCTTCAGAAACAGTTATGTTTCGATCCTGAGTTCTTACTTTTGTCTTGTCCTGTCAGGTGCAGAAGATTGTCTTGCTTATTTGTCCTCCTAACATGTATTTCTACAGAAATTATACTGTAGAGTTCTTTCTCTGTCTGCTGCCTTTTATCTCATGAAAGTAGTTTATATATGGCTGTTGGTATGATTGTCCAACTAATATATTAAGTTGATTATCCTTCCTGCTATTGCTTTTATTTATCTCCAGCTTTTGGGTTCATGTGCATGTCTTCTTGACAGCCTGTGGGAATTCTTCAGATTATTTTGGGACAGTTGCATCTGAAGTCTAAGCTATATGTGTGCTTATGCATTTGATCCAAGTACTGACAGAAGTTCCAGCCTTCTGAATTCTCCACCCTTCACTTGATTAATGATTGCTTTCATCAGAGCTTCTAGTGCTTGAGCCTCAGGGTTACTTACCTAAAAACTTTGTATGCTACTTCTGGACAAATAAAGGATTCTATTTGGTATTCTTAAGTCATCTTAGTGGCAAGCTGACATGGATGCCATGAGAAGCATTTTCTGTCTTTCAAAACTTTATATTATGAAGCCTAACATAGGAAAAAATTGTATTTCTACAGGTCTGATTTATGTTGTTGGTGGTATCAGCCATGAGGGAGTAGAGCTGCGTTCTGTTGAAGTCTACGACCCGATATCTAAACGTTGGTCTGAGCTTCCTCCCATGGGCACCCGAAGAGCATATCTTGGTGTAGCTGCTCTCAACGATTGTATCTATGCTGTAGGAGGCTGGAACGAATCTCAAGATGCGCTTGCTACTGTAGAAAGATACTCCTTTGAAGAGGTATGGTGGAGTCCCTTCCTTTCAGAAATGTAGACTGCGTGGACTTTGTGTAAAATGCTGTGGAAGTAGCCTGTTTCCTTCCTAAAAAACTAATAGTTTCCAGTTCTGCTTTCCCTATTGGCTGGTAATCCAAGTGGGGGTTGGGGGTGGAGGGAGTTCTAGTGACCTCTGAGTCTGTCTGTCCTAACCAGCTTGTAGCATTCTGCTGATCTGACCCAGAGCTATATGTTTATGAAAACTGTATGCATGCTTTTGGGAAACTGAAAGCTAACCAAGCTCAGATACTCCATAGTTTGGTAAATACTTGACAAAGTAAAGGTAGTGGAATACATTTCCCCTTCTCCTTCTGCAATAGAATGAATTCTAGAATGAACTCTTTCCAGAGAGAACAAGTAAGAGTTGCCCTTTGCTGCATAGCTTGAGAATCTTTCTTCTGCATCAAAATGTAGTGGTTGTTTCATCGCAACTAGAAAAGTCACCTTGAATGCAGTATTAGTCCTGGCTATTATTGCTCATGTTTGTATGATGTTCTTTGCAACAGAAGCTAGTGTTAAAAGCAGCACATATTCCAGCGTGGCATTCTGTTCTGCAGTGTTTTCCTTGTTTCCCATCTCAAAGTGCATATCATTCTCTGTTTTGGAGATGGACTACATCATGCAGTGACTGAAGAAAGGAAGGGGTGTAGACAGAATGTGATCTGTTCTTTAGAGACTAACACGATATGGACCACTTGTGAAAGTGGCATTACAGTATCAATAACACACTTGATACAATACACATAGCATATTTGAACCTGTGATGTTTGCATAGTTAACAGATGTTTCAGTCTTTAATGTTAAAAAGCTGTTTTATCAGAATTGGGACGTACCCTAAAACTACTTGTTGACTTTTTCATGTTCTCATTAGGAAAAGTGGGTTGAAGTTGCACCAATGAAGATGCCAAGAGCTGGTGTCTGTGTTGTGACTGTGAATGGATTTCTTTATGCCTCGGGAGGCCGTGCTCCCAGTCATGATTTTGCTGCTCCAGTAACCTCTGACTCTGTTGAAGTTTATAACCCTCACATGGACAGTTGGACTGAAATTGCCAACATGATCACCAGCCGCTGTGAAGGAGGTGTAGCTGTGCTGTAAAATGCAAGGAAGAAAACTCATCTAAAGAATGAGTGAGCATCTGCCTCCTCAGGTTTCTGGTTTCATTGGCCAGAAACCTCTTTTGTCAGCAGAAGCTTCAGTAGAGACACAGGGGGGTTAGATCAGAGGGCTTTTCCTAAGCAAAAGGAAATATTAAAACTCTTGCCCTTCAAAGTAAATGGGCTTATCCCAGAGTAGGAATGCCTCTTATGACTGGATTAAGATATAATAAATGGCAAATTTGCCCTGTACAACTCTGAAGAAATCATTCCAGCACACTAGAGATACTAGATCTCAGATGTGTCAGTCAGTATCTTTAGCTGGCCTTACAGTCTGGAAGAAGGCTGCTCTGGATGGCTAGGAGTTCCCTGCTGATAAAAGCAGGCTGGCCACTTGAAGCATTAGTTGTCCTTTACTGATAGAAAACAAGAAAAAGAAGAGATAGGAGAGACTTGGTACCTAGATGCATTTGAGCCTCTCAGTGTGGCTCTGCTGCCACAGAGCATGGGCACTAAATATTAATTGTTTACTTTCCTGCCACCTCCAACTTTGATGGTAAGTGGCTGAGGACTTCCTATTATGGAAAGTTATTCTTGCAGTTCTAATAATGTCATTCCACTTCAGCACAGGCTTTTTTTATTCAGTGGAGTCAGTGATGGCAATAGAGCTCTTTTTCTGTATTAACTGATTATTTTAAATGGAAATGGCATTTGTTAAATGAGTTATTTTTGCAGTTAGGATGGCTCTTAGACTAAAAACGTAAGGAAAACCTTTTGCCCATTTTTTTTTCTTTTTTCCTTTAACTGTGTTTTACGCTGTGTGACACATGCTGTGATTTGGCATCTGAATACATGCTCTTATACAAGGTTCACATGTTCATCCTTGCTGCATCTTATACTCTTCCAAATTAGAGTGAACAGAGCCTTTTGTAGTGGAAATAGCTGTGTTCAGCATTAAAGTGATGCTAGTGTGTCTTTCCTTAAGGAATTTCATATTTAGCTTGGATACACTTTTAGAATACTTGCAGGAGTTTGGAGTTATTTCTAGCTTCATGGAATTAACGTTGTACTTGAAGTTACTTTTTGCACACTGCAATTGCATTGTCTGCACGGCTACGGATGACTCAGATTGGAGTCTGAAATAAAGATGCTTGAACTTGGGAGACAGTGTTACCCTAGAATGTGAAATCACAACTGGAATGTCAGAGAACAGGAAGCCTGCATTATGGAGACAAGGGGGCACTCAGAGTAAGTCAACATCTCTTTCATACGGTTAACAAATTAATGTATGAGTAAAAGCCCTCAGTCAGTGTTGCAGGTACATTAAGAATCCAGGTTTTGCATTCTAACACAGGACTGAGAGATTGCCAGGTTAAAATGTGCTAGATGATGGAGCATTTGTTTTCTCTGATCACTCAGTCATTGTATATGTTTTACTTCAAAAAATTACTCCTTAATTATGTCTATTTGTCTTTCTTCAAGTTTGAACTTGTTTTAAGCAGTTTTTGTAATAAAATACACTTTCATAACTGAATATGGAATACTCTTGAACAGGGTGTTTTCCTACCAGAATGAGTTGCATCGTTGCTGTTTTCACCTAGTGAGTTGTCCTGTTCTTTAACTTGAAGTCTTGTTTTTGGTAGGATGCTAGGAGAGAGTGATTATACATTTAGACTGCTTCAAGCTGCAAATAACATACTTCTGTAGTAAAATTCTCATTAATTTCTCTTCAGTATAAAGTCAGAGGCTTCTTGCAAGCATGGCTGCCTTGTCAGCTCCACACAGCTCTCTCTGAAATGAAATTACAGGTAATATTTCTTAAGTTTTGTTATTCATGTTTTAGGAACCTTTTTGAGACACTTGAGAAACACTGCCTTCGCTATATTTTACTCATTTGGGAACTACATACATTGATTTCTCACCCTTTCCCATAAACTTTCTGGTTCAGATTATCTTGAGGGAGTCTGCTGTTGGTCTGAAGCTTTTTCTCCGTTTCCTTTGATTTTGATGTTTGAGCGAATCTTGGAGGCTTAATCAACTGCTCCCAGCTACTCAGCAATCTTTCCCTGACTCAGACCAAAAGCAAGCCTATTGTCTGGATCCACTTTAAAAAATTGTCTTATTTAAAAATAGAATAACATTGTGTTTACAAATAAAGAGTTTTTATTTATTTTATATTCAGAGAGCATCAATGTATACTGCTGATTTGGGGATATGGTGCTGTTAATACATAAAAGGTAATGGGGTATGAAAAGGAGAGATTCATGGACATAGCTGCTGTTTCAGCAACACCATATAAGATGATGGCACCATCTTTAGGCAGGTTTCTTAAACTGTTCTTTGCAGAACAAACAGATAAAACTGAAGTTATGGTAGGTGCTTCATTCTTTACTAATCAACAGTGAAGACAAGTGCTTTGTGTGTACTATGAGGATCATACAAATTGGTCCTGAGGGCACATGGATATCAAATATTGGCTTTCTTCTTGCATCTTACACTGTACTTAAGAAGCCTATAGTAAACATGCTCACATGCAATGTATTAAGCTTCCTGAGGTAGCTGAGGATAAAAAAGAAAATCCATATGATGGGCTGTTTCTTCCTCGAGATTATGTTAGGAAGTAGACTTATGTGCAAAGTTCTGTCAATAATCAGCTACTCAGGGGCAGTGTGCAGTCCACAACTGCATTTGTACCTTCCCAGGGTGCACAAATAAAACTACTCTTGAGGAGGGAGAAGACACAAACTTCTTTCAGTTCTACTGTCTGGTCCTTTAGTGTGTTAGGAGTAGATCTGTGTCCTACCAAGCAGCAATTGATGATGCTCTAACTTAGGAATATAACAGTCCTTTATGATCGTGTTGCAAGCAGCTTCACTGGTTACATAACCCTAAAACCAAGCAAAATCTAGGAGCAGATGGGCTGGCTCTCCTTCTTAAGTCTAAATAGTAAGCTAATCTTTTTTTTGTTGCACTTCATTGAAGATAAAAAGTTGTCCCTTCCAACCCTCCCAAGCAGCTTACTGATATACTTTAGGTGAACTTTGACCTCGGCCTGCCACTGCAAACAAACCTTGCCTGTCCTTTCCATTCTAAGTTCCATGTGATTAAGCTTTGGACATCTCCTCAATTTGAAGTAAGGTAGAGTTTTTGGTGTGTTTTTCACACTTCCACAAAACAGGAACTGAAGGTGTATGTATTTCTGCACAATTCTCTATTTCTTTCAGTGATAAACTTACTGCTTTCACCTTGACATTATTTAGAACACACACCACTACATCATTGTTCTCCCTCCCACAGAATTTATCACATTATAGTCAAACCAGATACTTCAGTAATTCAGAACAGAGCAATTCATACCCACAACATGTGAATCTCCATTTTAAATTCATCTAATCTCACTCAAGAATGATGCTTTATTCCACAGGTAATGGCAGATTCTGGCCTTGGACGTGATCAGTATATATTCCTTCCCTTCTAAATTTGCTATGAACTTACTTGCTCAAAGATAAGCATCTTGATCAACATCATCTTATGACTTCTAAGTACAAATAAATCTTTATTTCCAGATGACCTAAATACATTATTAATAAATAAACAGCTTTTTTCCCTTGCTTTATTGTTCTGTGTTCTGCCTTTCAGGTCTGCTGTTAATTGGCTCATTCTCTGAAACCATCTTCATGGCTAAAGTAGCTAACAGTGATGACACTGCCACTGCTGTTACCACTATCCTCAGTCCTTTAAACCAAAGAGGATAGGTGGGAAGAAGGGAAAGGTCATAGTGTAATGCTATCCCTAAGCTCAGTACAAGCATTACTGCACTGCTAGTGATATCTTTAAAAAGCAAGGCTTGCCAGGCAAGCAGAGGAAGAATGGTACTGTTGGCCAGGTTCAGCCAGTCTGGCTTGGCTGGGCTGTTTTCTGGGACAGCAAATCCCCACCTCATTCCCCCTATGAAAGAGACGATGGCAGCACCATACGTAACCTGAACAAATGCCAGCTCTGAGTGGTAGGTCTTTTGGAGAACCATTAATAGTGGCATGGAAACAAGTGGAATTAGCCCTGCAAGGCTTAAGTAAAGGGCTGGCTTCGGAGAATCCTTGAGTGATTTCATACTCTGTTGCACCAGGCCTGGCTCTCGAGGAGGTTCTTGGGGAGGCTTTTTCTTTAAGAGTGGGAAAGAGGTGTGAAAAGCCTGGAGTTTGACTGCGCACACTGATACTCTGCTGAGGCTCAGAGGTCTTGAGAGAAGACAAACGTTTCTCTGCAGGGAGAGGCAGGGAGAGGAGCATCTTGTCTTATTCTTTCCATGCAGGAGTAGTCTGGGAACAGTTAGCTTCTGTAGCTGCAATTAAAAAGTTTGTTCTTTTGAGTACCTTACAACACAGGCATTATTGTCCTACAGTTACCTGGAGTATCCTTAAAATATTGAACTGAGGAGTTTTCCTGGCTGGATAACCCCACAGCTGCCCTTCCTCTGGGCTTTCTCATATTTTAATCTAAGCAATTAAGCTGGTACAGCTTTCACAAGCCAGCTGGCACAGCTGCTCGGCTCTTCCCAGTGAGCAAGCAGACGTTGCTCACTATGAAAACACTTTGTGCAGCCACCTCTTCTCCCACCCACCCATGCTAAGGGAGCATGCATCAGGCCTGACCAGAAAGGAATACAGCATGATCATAGGACAGCACTACCCCAGAAAGCAGCTACTATCCCATCATTGTTCAACAGCACCTGTGTTGGTAGTTATAGGAGAGAAAAAGAACGTAGACATCAGAATGTGATTTAAAAAGAAAGGAGTCTGAGCTTTGGCCACAAACGGCTGTAAAAATAAGGGACGTGCTCGGAAAAGCTGCAGTGAATGCACGCCCACTTTAACTTGTGAGGCACTGTTTCCCAGCGCTCCAATGGCACGTTGCGTTATTTTAAGGAAAAACGGCGATCAAAGCCTGCGGGAACTTACTTGGAGAGGTGTGCGGGGGCAGCACCGCTGTACGAGATGAAACATGCTTGCTTTGTCCGGGTCCTGAGACAGCAGCCGAGCGGGCGGATGGCCGAACCGCGAGCAGCTCAGCTCGTGCCGCAGCCCGCGCTCGGTATTGAGACGCGCGGTTCTTACCGCGTTGTACTGAGAGGTAACGCCTCGATGCACTCCGTAATTATTTACCCACCGCGGGATGTTCTGCTGCGGGCCGTTCCGGGAACCGACATCGCAGAGCAGGCGATGAGGCCGGCAGTGCGGGACGCGGCGCTTCCTGCGCACCGGGCGGCGCTCCGGCGGGGCTCCGCCTCGGCGGTCCGGGCGGGAACGTGCGCGGCGCCTCTGGTTCCGCCGCACGGGGAAGAGCGCGGCCGTGCGCGGCACCCGATGCCCGGCCCGGCACGTGCCAGAAGGGCAGCGCGCGGAGCGCGGCCGCCGTGCCGCCTGACAGCCCGAGCGCTGCGGGCTCCCGAGCGGGCCGGGCCCGGCTTCGGGATTTTCTCAAGCTTGCGCACGCGGACGGGCGCGAGGCGCCGTGGCGGAATACGACTCCCAGGCCGCCCCGCGGCGCGGCTCGGCGCGGGGCCTTCTGGGACTCGTAGTAGTTCTCCGCGGCGCCCCAGAAGCCGCGAGGACGGCGCCGATTGGTGGGGCGGGGGGCGCGCGCGCACCCTTCTCCCCGCTCGGGGCGGCGGGCGCCGGGGGTGGGGGGGCGCTCCGCGTGGCCGCCGGCGGAGCCAAGTGGGCGTGTCCCTTCCGCCTCGCGGCCCCGCCCCGCTCGCTCGCAGGCCCCGCCCCCTCCGGCCCCCGGCCGGGCAGGGCCGGGCAGCCATTTTGGGCAGAGCTTTGTTATGGTTCTGGGGCCGCAGGAGGCAGCGGGGGAGGCCTGGCCGGTGAGTGCGGCGCCCGCCTCCGTTCCCCGCGCTTCGCGGCGTCTCCGTCCGCCGCTCCGCCGGGCCCGGCGCCGGCTCCCCGCCCTCCGCTCCCCGATCGCCGGCCCCGCGGCCTCGGAGCGGCCCGGGATGGGCCTCCCGCCAGGCCGGGACCCCTCTGGCGGCGGCGGCGGGGGGAGCGGGGCGGCCGCCGGGGGGAGCTCGGCGCTCCGGGCCCCGCCGCCCGCGCGGCCCCGGCCCTTCCGCCGCGGCGGGGGGGAGCCGCGCTCCCGGGGGGCTCCGGGCCGGGGGTTGGTGGGGGGGGGGGCGGCCGGGGCCGAGCTCCGCGCTTATTGTTTCCTGCCTCGGCGGAAAGTTTGCCGAGCCCGACGCCGCTCCGCTGGCGGCGCGCCGTGTCAGCGAGGGGCGCGGGGGCAGAGGCCGGGGTAAAGTCCCCGGGGCCGCGCCGGGCTTCGTGCGCGGCGGCGCTGCGAGCGCGAGTTGGAAACGAAAGTGGGAGAGTCGGGCCGAGGGCCGATCCGCCGCCGTTCCGGGGTGGTTGGCTGGGGGGGGCGGGGAGGTCGGCAGCGACACGTGTGCCCGGCACGGCGGACGGAGGCCGGAGCCCCCGGGTGCCGCCCGGCCGCGTGCGGCTCCGGGTGCCGCGCGGTGCGGGGCGGCGGCAGCCGCGGGCGGTGCCGGCCGGGCTGCTGGGAGCGCGCCGGGCTCCGGGCCGCCTGCTGAGGGCTTTGAGTTTTGGTGCCCGCAGCAACTTCGGAGCGGCCGTCCTACCGGCCGAGAGCTCTTCGGCGGCTCGAGGCGAGCGGCCGCTGCCGAAACCCTTCCGGCCGTGGCGGAATTTCTTAAAAACATCGGCTGCGAATCGCCTCGGATAAGCTGACCAGGTCAGCCGGCGCCGCCTTCCCCGCCCTCGAGCTCCGAGTGACACAGGCGTTAGTAATGCCGATAATATTCCGGGAGGTTGGAAGCGGCCGAGGCGGGGACGTAAACACGGGCCGGGAGCGCACCTGGGCGGCTCGGAGCGGGTGGGGCTGCGGCGGGGCCCGGCGCCGCCTGCCTGCATCCCGGCTGCGGCCCGCAGCGCTGCTGGGAGCGCCGGGCGCGGGGGTGGGAGCGCTGTGCTCGGCTCCTGTGTCTGCAGAGCGGGCTTGGAAACGTGCGGCTGCGAGTCAGGTGTGGGGCGGGAGGAGAGGGAATAACATCGCCGTTCTACAAAAATAACCCTGTTTTTTTTTTTAACGTTACTTCAGTTCGCTTACGGAGAAAGCTGCCTTATGAGAACTTCTAAAAGTTTCTTTTTTTCTAGAGTGAGAGAGCATTCGTTGGCGTTTTCCTCATTTACTTAAAGCCGCCTGTAAGGAAGCACGACCTTTGCATACTTTATACATCTGGTTTGTAGTCTTAATCCTGCGTGGCACAGAAGTTTCCATTGCAGATATTCTGCTCAGACTTGGAGTGAAAATATGCAGGGAACAGATGGCATTTAGAAAAAAAAAAAGTCCTGTTTGTTGGTTGTTGTTTTTTTTTTTTTCTATGAATGTTTCTGAAATAAGAAAGGAGCAGCGTGCAGATGGGATACGTATCACAAACTCAGTGGAAGTTTCAGTGCACGCTGTGCCGACTGCTGGGAGAAATGCCTTCCTTGGAGATGTGTTTCAGGTTGCTGTCACCTCGTCTTACTGATGGCACTGCTTGGTGCTTGGCTTGAGTGCCTCTTGAAATCGGTGTTTTAAATAAGGGGATGAAGTCACGAAAGGGAACTGATCTTCACAAACAGCTTTGGGAAATGTTAAAAATACTTTGAGAGCTGTGGGTTATCCTTTTTCTTTTAAGAAAGTAGTGCTGTGGATGGATCTGTGAATTTCTTTGGGAGTGTGGGATGTCGGATAGCAACGACAAGAGTGCCACTAAGAGAACAAACACTTCACTGGATTAAGAGCTGCGTTTTTTTAACGTGGTTTCAGCGTTAGGGGATTTTTGAAGCTGCTGAATGGGTTTGGTTGTGGGCTGTGCTTCAGGGTGTGCTTTATGCGTTTGTATGAGCAGATTGGAAAGGAGCTGGTTATGTTAAGCAGGGCTAAAACACGAAGCACTCTTCTCAGCAAAGTGCTGGTGGTTCCTGCACCAGTACAGCTTTGTCTGTGAAGGCACAAATGTGGGCTGGCTGTTGCTGTAGGTTACAGTGAGCAAGGTCATTGCTAGTGAGCTCTCCAGCTGGTGAGGCACTCTGCGTGCAGAGGAGTTTCTTTGGGGTTTGTAAGTCCTGTGCTAACTTATTTGGCATTGAGTGCTTTCTCTCTGCTTTAGATGTTGTCCTTCTAACATGGCGGGGTAAGGAGCTGCTGCAGTGTCCCTCGTGCAGCGCCTGGCATTCTGAGTAAGTGGTGCACGTCCTTCTTCTGCAGAGTCGCACCGGTTTGGGTTCTCCTTACTTGTCAGGTTTGACGAAAGGCAGCGAAGTTGGCAGAAATGTGGTTCTGCTCAGCTCGCCTCCCAAACGCCAGCGTGTTGTTTCACTGGTGTTCTGGAAGGTAGCGTGTTCCTGTGACAGTGTGCCAAACTTGAACGAGTTATTGTATGGTCAGAGGGTAAATGTACATTTTTGGGAGTGGATTTAGATGGGCCAAATACTCACTGTCCTGTGTGTGCAAACACTGAGCAGGCTGAGAAGTTTAGGTCACGTCAAGGCTGCTAGCGTGGCAGTAAAGGGGGGGAAAGCCTATCAGCTACATTAATCATACATATTAGCAATTGGACTACATGACTACAAATTGGGATTTCTTGATTAAAGCATGCTTAACATTGTTCAGTTCCTGCCTTCTCTAGCTGGGCTTCAGAAGTGTTTGGCAAAGAGAAGAACTTTAATGCTTTATACTTCTCAGGCTTTTCTGTAATTAAGCAGCAAAAAGACTTTGTAGAATGTCGGTGTGTGCAGTTCCCTAAAATGACTAATGTGAAATGGTTGCACTCCCAAGGTTTGGCTTAGGACAAACCCTTTGAACCTGTGCATCCAGACGTAACTGAGGTTGTGTACCTCAGTGATGATCAGGCCCAAATAGTTTGCAGGATATGACCCAGTGCCTCTGGGACTGCTGTACACTAGAGGGCTCACAAGGAGCTGCTGAAGTCCTAGGAATAGGGTCATTCTAGCAACAATACCAGCAGCTTCCTATGTATTTTTAATTCCATCCTTGAATCTTGTGCTCCATTTCAATTTGGGGCTTTCATTGCCTTACCCTCCACCTTGAAAGGAACATCACAGCTTTGTGTTGCGATGTTGGTGCCCCCCGATAAGCAGAGGTGTGCACACAGGGTCTTGCTTATTGTCCTTCTTTTTTGGAATCTACTTTTTCTAATACAAGAAGTGGCCAAATATTTTAATGAATTTCCCATGGAGCACTTTTATTTTTGGCATCTGCAGCAGGTTCAGGTAGATAGTTCTAGAGGAGAGTAATGGTGTGGCCAGGGGTGGGTGATGCTGGGGACAGAGGCTCAGTGTGGCAGGGGCTGCTTTCCTGGGTATCTCTGTGACCCACATAGCACACAGCATGTGACAGTGACCGTAGTGCTCTGGTGCTTTGTCATCCTTAGTTCCTAATGAGCAGCTCTCTTGTAAACAAAGGGCTGAGTCTGCTGTGGGGCATCTGCTGTTCTTTTGGACACAGATTATCGATACCCAGAAACTTGTAGGTGAATTTGTAGTCAAGTTATCAGCAGACTTCTGGCTGTAAACACTCCAGAAAGAGCATTCTGCCATTGTGTTCCAGTGTACCATCCATTGCCTGGAGATTAATCAGTATTCACATGAGGTGGTCTGAAAAGTTTTTCAATGCCAATCTTTAAAAGCTTGGTGGGGGAATTCTTGTACCCTGCAAATGTTAAACATATTATGCTCTTGACTTCTGGTTCTGGAAAACTGTCTTTCCTATATATTGAACTCTATTTAAATAGAGAAATGGGTTAAGGATGCCTTAAATGTCTTGAGATTGGCTGGGCCTTATGGAATGTATCCCACAGTACTTTGGGAGCTGAAAGTCTGTGGGGATGGGAGAAGTTCCAGCTGAAGAATGGTGGGAAGCAAATCCGCTCCCAGCATTTGGAATAAGACGGGACGGGAGCCTGTCTGTTCACCTCATCTTGTCACAGGGAGACAAGTGATGAGTGTTCGTATCAGGAATCTCTGCTGGGCCATGTACTGCTTGGTAGTTTTGTTTTTCTGCTTTAAAATGATTTTGTTACTAAACGCAGATGGTATGATCTTGACAAATTGAAGAAATGGTCTGAAGTCAGTCCTGTTTAGTGTAGGTGAGGTTCGAATTGTAAAGTTTAGGAATATTACCTCATGCAGACACGTAGCAGCTGGCTAGGCAGCAGTTCTGTGAGAGAGTATTTGGGTTTGTAGTGGTTCCTAAATTACCATGAATCAGCAGCATTGCTGTCATGAAAATTCACTTGTCATACTGGAATACATAGAAGCATCATAAATGAGGTCATGAAGCAGTTTTTCCATTCCTCTGAGGAGCTGTAGGTCTCCAGCAAAAGTGTTTTGTTCACTTTGTCAGACTTTGAGAAAGGTTATGGCTGGGTGAAAAGAACTGTAATGAAGGCCTGAAAAAAGAACCTCTGAGTGAAGATTGAAAAACTGTTGAGCTCTGGCATGGTTTTGTACCACTGGTGGCTCATCAGACATCAGCAGGTTAAAGTTACGTGCAGGTGGAAGCGGGAGCCAGCTGTCTGCAAGCTGTCAGGTGTGCTAGGTGGGTCCTTGTTATCACCGTCAGTACTTTGAACCTAAATAGCTTCAGCAGTAAAATTGGAGTGGTTGTGACATGTATTTATTAAGAAAGAAATGTGACTGTATTCAATCCTATAATGCACTGTTACATCCTTTTTCTGCTGGGATAAATACTGACGTGGAGAGAAGATGTCTTCAGAGGTGG